ACGGCTGTGGGCCGCTCGTGCTGAAAGGCCGCCCCCGCCGGGTCCCCGCCCACTCCCGCACTTACTTGTGCCGTCGCCGCCGCTCCCTGGTCTGAGACGCAGCTTCCGAGTCGCCCGCAGCTTCTGTTGGGTCAGTGGCGCGAGGGTCTCCGCGCGTGTCGTCGGCGCCGCCTGGCCCTTGGTGCTCCGGCCGGCTTGGCAGAGCCCCGGCCCGATTCCCCCGGCTGGTCCGGGGGTCCGGGCACCGCTTCCACGGCCGGCCCGCCCCACGCCATCGCCCGGACCGCCCCGAGCGGACGGCGTCATGAGGCACCTGCCGTACTTCTGCCGGGGCCAAGTGGTGCGGGGCTTCGGCCGCGGCTCCAAGCAGCTGGGCATCCCTACAGGTGAGAGCGGGCGGGTCGGAGCCCCGGGCCGGGCCACGTGCGGGGCAGAGGTGACACTTCGCCGCCCCGATCCGCCTCCGGTGGGGCGGAAGACCTTTGGTCGGGATGAAGTAGCTGGTCCCAGTCTTCTCCGAGCCCAGGGGCCGCGGGGTGGTGAGGGCAGGAAGCAGGAGAGGAGTCACAAGATCCTTCTAAGCGCCTCCAGGTCCATCTTGCCGTTACAAACTTTAATTGGGGCCATATTGAACTGTCAAGTTGACTTTAAGGTGTTTTCTTAAAATCTGTTATTAAATGCAGTGAATAATAGTACAGGTAGCTGAATGAAAACCAGCTTTATGGTCTGTCTGCCTTGATTTTCGTGATGAAGACCTGACCGAAAGAGTCTTCATTAAAAGTATGGCCCTGGGCTGCCCCTTGATTTGTTAACTCAGTCTTTGAGTTTGGGGCCTAGGCTTTCGTATTTTGAAAGTAATCTTTTGAAAGGAGTTGGGGTCCTATCCAGGAAAGAGCAGGCCAAAAATCAAATAAATAAATACATAAAATAATCCAACTGGCGCCAGCCAAGTGGCATGATGGTTAAGGCTCTGGATCCCGCGTGGGTGACCTGCAGGGAGGAGTCCCCGACTGGAGGCTGGACAAATACCAGGGTCCCTGTGTATGTGCTCTCAAAATCCTGAGAGGAGACTGGAGGAGAAGAGATTGCTGCAGTGGTTGTCCCCCCTGGGGGATGCTGTCTCCCTTTCTCTCCCTCTCTGTGTCTCTCCTGTGAACACAGGCCCCCTATAGCAACTTTTAACAAATGCATCTCTTGTACCTGTTCCCCTTGCCTACCCGCACCCGGCAACCGGAGACTCCCCGCATTGGTTTTTCAGAGCTTTGTACACTTAGCTTGTACCTTATTCCTACCCAGTCCTTATTAGGAAAAAGGCATCTAGGCCAGAATAGGGAAGGTTGGAATTGATCATCAGAAACAAGTTCCTACACATCTTCTGAGTATAAATGATTAGCGTTGCATGTGCTATTTACAAATATTTCACATAAGTTAATGACACTCACAATATTTCCTTCTGTTTTTTAGCTAACTTTCCTGAACAAGTAGTAGATAACCTTCCAGCTGATGTATCCACTGGCATTTATTATGGTTGGGCCAGTGTAGGAAGTGGAGACGTCCATAAAATGGTGGTGAGCATAGGATGGAACCCGTACTACAAGAATACAAAAAAGTCCATGGTAAGCCTTCTCTTGCTCTCTAACTGAAATTGGGATGACGGTTTAGAGTAATGTGCTTTCTTAGATATAAGTGGAATTAAGTAGTAATCATGTCACAGTTCAAATGCTGGAATTTTGGCAGCATACTTAATAATTTAAAAGTAAAATATTTAGGGGACCAGCAGATAGCATAATGATTATATTGCTGGACTCCCACATAGTCCACCGTGGTTTAAGTCCCAGACCCAGCTACTTAAAACTAATGCCAGGCACATGTGCATGTGAGCCCAAAATCCTGAGGGGAGGATGGAGAAGGAATTGTGGTGGTGCCATCTCCCTGGGTGGGGTGTGATTTCTTGCTTTCTGTCTCTCTGGTGAGTACACGCACCCTAAAGGGAAAAAAAAGAAAACCTTAAAGAAAAAAAAAGTGGGACCAGCAGTTGTCATAATAGCTATGTTGCTGGACTCCCATGTAGTCGACCACGGGTCGAGTCCCCGACCCAGTGGCTTAAACTCAGGCTCGGCACATCTGTGTGCATGCCCAAGATCCCAAGAGGAGAATGGAGAAGGGATTGCGGTGTGGCCATCCCCCCGGGGGATGATTTTTTGCTTTCTGTCTCTCTGCCTCTCTCTGTCTTTCTGGCAAGCGCACACGTCCTATAACAAAAACCTCTAAAAAATAAATAATGAACCACATATACCAGGAGGGTGGCTTAACATATCTGATTCCTCATTCAGTCACATTTAATGTAAGGTTGTGGCAAAGATAAGAGCACTGGAATAATTAAAGAAAAATGGCACTTAGATTTTAACACAAGTCAGTGTAATGGGGGTCAGTTGTTTTGTTTAAATTGACCCACCATAAACATGAAGATATATTTTAGATTTCAAGTACTCTATAATCTAATGGTAGTCTTTTGAACATTTTTCACTGTAGGAAACTCATATCATACATACCTTCAAAGAAGACTTCTATGGGGAAATCCTTAATGTGGCCATTGTTGGCTACCTCAGACCAGAAAAGAACTTTGATTCTTTAGGTAAGTTCTTATTTTGATCTTAAATATTACTGCTACTACCTTAGCTATTTCTGTTACTACTGCTAGTAATCATGAGGGCAGGACAGATAACATTTGAACACTTAATATGTGCCACGCACTGTTTTGAGCACCTTACATGAGTTAACTCCTTTCATCCCAAGGCAGCCACATAAGAAATTCTTTTGTTCACTTTGCGGATGGAGAACTTGGCACAAAGAGATTAAGTAGTTTGCCCAAGGTTGCATAGTAAGTGTTAGAGCCTGTATTCAAACCCATCAGGCTGGCCACCTCTCTTCAACACTATGAAGGTAATGAAATCTTTCGAAATGATTGAGGTGTAAGGAACAGTAAATCACAGAACCTTTGAACAGATGGTATCAGGTATCTCTTTGTGTAGTGTGATAGTCTTAAGTCTATTGCAAAGTTTCTTTTATGGATATAGATACCAAAGAGATACAGCTCGCATATTTGTTTCTTTTTGGTACTTGCAATGTGCATTGTGGCCTATGTCTTTCTCTTAAATTGTTTGCCATTGACTTCTACTAAAATCTGGAAGAAGGGATGAAACACATTTATTGGGGATCTCCCCTATGTCAGAGATACTGCCAGCCTGTGAGTTTTTAGGAGAGGACGAACAAAGGAGAAGTAAAAAGTGTGTTAGGAGTTTCATCTTCTCGTCTTAATATATTCTCTTTACAGAGTCACTTATTTCAGCCATTCAAGGTGATATCGAAGAAGCTAAGAAACGACTAGATTTACCAGAACATTTGAAACTTAAAGAAGACAATTTCTTCCAGGTTCCTAAAAGCAAAATAATGAATGGCCACTGAAAAATCACCTTATTATTTATTAATTCACTGTTTTCTTGTATTTCACTGTTCATAACTATGCAGTCTCATCTTGGTTATATTTTGAAAATCTAACATTTTCCTTTAGCTCTGAATTTGTTTAAACAGTACAATGTAATTACCATATTATGCTTCAGCTGTTAAATTAAACCCATCATGTTATGGTACTAAAAAAAAAAGATTCATTAAAATTAAGGTCTTTTTAAATGAAATATGTTGATTAAATTGTACCACCACAAAGGTATTGTAATGGAAATGAACAGTATGTAAGTATGGGCAAAAAGGCAAGTATGAAGTGAGACCTGTGATTCTCATGGTAAAATGCTGGCATATGTACTTCATAGCGCATGCTGCTAAACAGAGGCTTATAAAAGTCACAAATGAAGTGACAGTTTGATAGATTATTGTAAACCCAAGGGAAAAATTCAGGCTTTGTGTGAAGACTTTTGTTTTAGTCCTGTCTTTTATGTGGTCACATCGTGCCATTTTAATTTTTGTATAGAACTGCCTCCGTTTTAAGTGGCATAGACTCCCTCTATTGTTTTTGTTTTTTAAAATAGTGTTTTCAGATTTGTAGGTCTCCATTTTGTATTGGAAAACCCTTTTTTCTTTTTAAGAGTTGACCTTCTCGTTCAGCACTTTTCTTGACTTTGATTCTTTTTTCCTTCAAGTGATTGTGTCAGTTTATTCCATTTAGAATATCCTCTAGTTGTATACCTAAAAGAGACTGCATCGCTACCATTCCATCCTTTCACTCTCAGAACAGTGACTGAGTACATGTATGTATTGCATTCTTAGAAAACACAAAACAAACTTGATCTTTCAGTTTCTTCAAGCTTTAAATAGACACATAAGTGGTTCATTTATATGTACCGATTTCCTTAAGAACACAAAATGCTTGTTTTCTCCCCAGGGAAGCTATTTAAGAGCCAATAAAACTATGAAATAGTTGAAAAATTATTTATTTTTTATGTAATTACATGTTCCAGAGTAAATCTAAACTGTTGCAGTTGTGTGTACATATTGTAATTTAATGCCAAAGAGTGCTTGAGTAAAAATCTTGAAACTTTAGTTAAATCTTAATATTGTGCTTTTCTTTTCTCCTATTGACTATGATTTGGGGGCACTTGAAACTTGGTGTATATTGGCAGAAAGTTAGTATCTTTAGATATTTAGTAAAAGAAGATTACAGATTGCTTTGGCTCCTTACAGCACATTACATCATTATTTAGCAAAAGATTTGTGGTGATGGGGAGGACTGTAGGGACAGGAGTAGAAGTGTGAAGGAGGTCATTTTAAAGATAACTCATTATAAATCATATAGTTTAGAGAAAAACATCTAAACTTGCGGGGGAAGGGAAGTGATATGAATTCTGTCGAACTGTGTTTTACTTTTTGGTGTATGAATTAAGGCAAAGGAAATGCAATTTGTGACTTTTTCATTTCTTTATAGAAATATTGAGAAAATACAATGTTTTAAAATTTATTTTCCCAGAGAGAGAGATACAGACAGGCAGACACACTCCAGCAGGTCTTCATGCCATGATTGACTGCTTCAGCCAGCCAGGATCATAGGCACACACACGTGGCATGTAGAGGGAGACCTCAGGACGTGAACCCTGGACCTTCCTCACGTGACCTCAGTATCACTGTGTATTGTATTGCCACTGCGCCACCACAGCTAGGCTGAAAGTGTAATTTTTAATGTTAAAAATCCTACAGTTGAAAGAAACCACAGTTATCCATTGACTTTATGAAGTAAAGTTAAAAACAAACATGGAAAGTGTAAAAACAGGTATGTGTTTGTTTTGTCTGGGTAGCTTGCTGGTAGTTAAGTGTGTGAAAGTTCTTTGATATTTTACTGGTCACCTTACATTTTATTAACTAGCCATTGCTTTTGAAAATCTGTGGTTAGGTGTTGATCGTGTTTATTTTTCTAACTTACAGTAAGCATGTTTGTATTGTAAGAAAGCACAGTAGTAATGAGTCTGGACGTTTTCAGACCTTGACATCTTTCTCTTTTTTTTTTTGGAGAGATTTTTGCTACAGGGCGCGTGCGCTCGCCAGACAGACAGAGAGAGACAGAGAGACAGAAAGCGAGAAATCACCCCCCCGGGGGGATGGTCATGCCGCAATCCCTTCTGCATTCTCCTCTTGGGATCTTGGGCACGCACGCACATGCACCCGGCGTGAGTTTTAAGCCACCGGGTCGGGACACAAACCGCAGTTGACTACGTGAGAGTCCAGCGACATAGCCATTACACTAACTGCTGGCTCCCCCAGACCTTGAAATCTTGACTAAGTGATACTTGTTTCTTTCCCTGTGTCATCCTGAATTTTTTGCCTTATTTCTATAAGGTGGGAATTTGTTGGCCAGTTGTTACTTTAAGATGTTAAAGGGCTTGAATATCAGATTATAGGCAGCACCTGTAGAGAGAACCTGGCAAACAGAGGTAGTTGCATAGCCAAGAACCTCACCTTCAAGAGCTGGTGGTTTTTATGCCTGGAGCACAGTGACTGGGATTTATTTGAAGAGCATTCATTGGAAGCCAGAACTCTGAAATACCCACTTTGAAGAGTGAATTTTCCCTATTATATTTTATATAATATAATATTTTATATTATATCTTATATATTATAAGAGCCAGAGGAATATAAGTAGGTCTGAGATCCCTTATCTTAGCTCCTGCCCCCAAACGAAGTTCTGTAACCTTTATGTCTTGTGCCCCCCACCCCACTTGCAGCTCCTTGTTTTCTCTTGTATGTCGGATACTCCTCCCACGTGCATACTTAGAACTCTCATTTTCCGCGACTGGAGACCTCAAAGCTTGCAGGAGGGTTGCTCGTGTAACATGAGTCTGATCTGGGAAATGTGAGCAGGGTCTGCTTCAAATTTACAAGGACAATTTGTCTCTGGATGAATAAGTGGGGAAGTATTGTATGAAATACTGGGTTCTTTGGGTCCAGGCTGCTAAGATTAGAGACCTGCCCTGAGATGCAGAATGAAGTCGCAAACATGAGTAAAGACGAGAAGTTTTTAATGCAAAAGTGAAGATTTTAACAGAAGAAGACAACCCATGGCCAGAAAAGCAATTGGACATGTAGCTTTCAGAGGACACCTGCCCTGGGAATGGGGGCTAGGTGTTACTTTTATTGTGTGATCTTGTCATGAGTGTTTAGGGGAGGTCTGTCCCCGTAGTAAGCTGTTTTGTGGGCTTTTGTTCCTGAGTACTTGTCAGGTAAGGGAATCTTTTTTTTTTTTTTTTTTTTTTTGAGAGGTTTTCGCTACAGGGCGAGTGCGCTTGCCAGACAGAGATAGACAGAAAGCGAGAAATCACCCCCCAGGGGGGATGACCATGCTGCAATCCTTTCTCCTCCATTCTTCTCTCAGGATCTTGGGCACGCATGCACACATGCCCGGGGTGAGTTTTAAGCCACCTGGTTCGGGACGCAAACTGCAGTTGACTAGGTGGGAGTTCAGTGACATAGCCGTAATGCCAACTGCTGGTTCCCAGGTAAGGGAATCTTTAACTGGTTGGGGAAGTCTGATTGCCGGGTGTGGACTTTGCAGATACGGGAATGCGCATAAGGATTATTTTTCCCATATTTATTGCCCCAAGTGAGAAGTGGGATATTGAGCAAGGTCCCAGAGAATTTCTGTGTGTATATGTGAAATGGTGGTAGGGATGATAGTATCTTTTCCAGGTCTTTTGAAGAAAGCTTAGGTAATAAAAAGGGCAAAGACCTCTTTTTTTTTTAAAAAAAAAAAGTGAGATAAGCTTCACCTTCCTGGTGGTGGGAGAGAGGAGGAAATTCCGGGGAGTGGGGAATTTGGAGGGAGTCCAGTTGTAACCCCTGATAAGCGGTCATTGTTAAGGCATTTTCTCAGGACTTCCTGATCATACCTGACTAACTGCCTGTGACTTGTTTTACTTTACTGGTAAAAGTGCTAGTCTTTCTCTTCCCTTACCTGGAAAAGAGATGTGGGGCAGATGGAGGAGAATTAGTCTGACCTTAGAGATTGAGCTAAGACAGATCTACACTTCCAGAAGAGTTGCTTTCATAAGACACAGGAACGTGGGTATGCAGCGGTGTTAGCACCCAACAGTGGGACATGGGTTCTTGTCTCATGCTCACAAAAAATTAGAGATGCAGTCACACAGAGAGGATATAGCAAGTTTGAGTCCTGATCCTGGCAGCTTGCTTTCTCACTTTCTCTCTCTTTCACTCTGGTCAAACTGAAAATAATAATAATAATAAAGCTAAGTGATTAATTCTAAAAAAAAGAAAAGTTGTTAAAAGTCAGACACAAAGTCTCATAACTTAATGAGAATGGATTTTTAAAAACAAAGATAATTTTAACATAGCTGAATATAAAAAGAAAACTTTATTCCCTGTGAATTCTTGTGAGACCACAGTACTGTATTGTCATAAAGAAGTAGTCCTTCAAAAAAAAAAATGAGATGTTTAAAAGTGAAAAACATGGTAAAATCAGTCATTTGGTGATTTGTAGACTTTACAAAATTGATTTTGACCTTCTTTCAAATAATTTCAAAGAAACACTCAGCTGCTTTTATTATTATGAACTTTTTCTTTTAATTATTTTATACAATGAATAATGATTATAATAAATATATAAGTGCAATAGGAAAAACACAGAAACAACAGTCTGAAGTAATTGGTGAATTTGTACTTAAACCTGCTTGTTTGTAAAATAGTTGAATTTTTAGCATGTAGACACTTTCATTTACAAAACTCTTATTTGTTTTTGTTTCTTATAATATTTGTGGTTTACTGGAAAACATGGTTGTGACAGTCTTGCTTAACACTTTGGTTAAGAGAAAAAATGGGTAGGCGTGTCATAGAGGTATGCAAAAATTTAACAGTTCGAATAATCCTTAGCCTTTCTGAGAAACTGAAGATGGGAAATATATAGTATATATTTCTGTAATAATTTCACTCCTGCACATTATAGTGACCATTCAGTTCATGCATTCAAAAACCTGTTACTGTTTTTAGTTAACTGAAAACAAGTTGATGAAATTACAAATATTATGTTCCAAAATATTTAGTCTTTCCAGGTGTGTTTCTTATATGCAACATGTAGAGTTCCTGTTTCTTTGATCCAGTGAGCCAATCTGTGTCTTATATTTGGGGAATTTAATCCATTGACATTCAGAGTTAACGATATGTGTGGACTTACCTCTGTCATTTTGCTACTCTTTTTTTTATGATTTTTTAAAAAAAATTCTCTCATTTCAATTTCTTTTCCTTTAGTTTTCCTGGTGTAGTATTATCTTGAGTGTTTCTTGAAGGCTGGACTAGTTTTGGTGAATTCTTTCAGCCTTGTTGATCTGGGGATGATTTTATTTCTTCTCACTTGAAGAGTATCCTTTTTTTGGGGGGGTGAGAGGTTTTCACTATAGGGCGCATGCACTCGCCAGACAGACAGAGACAGAGAGACAGAAAGCAAGAAATCACCCCCCAGGGGGGATGGTCACGCCGCAATCCCTTCTCCTCTTGGGATCTTGGGCATGCACGCACACGCGCCTGGCGTGAGTTTTAAGCCACCGGGTTCGGGACGCGACCCGTGGTCGACTGTGGGAGTCCAGCGACATAGCCATTACGCTAACTGCTGGTTCCCTTGAAGAGTATTCTTGATGGGTAATAGTACTCTTTTTTTTTTTTTTGAGAGGTTTTCGCTATAGGGCGCGTGCGCTCGCCAGACAGAGACAGAAAGCGAGAAATCACCCCCCAGGGGGGATGGTCACACCGCGATCCCTTCTCCTCCATTCTCCTCTCAGGACCTTGGGCATGCGTGCACATGCACCCAGCGTGAGTTTTAAGCCACTGGGTCTGGGACGCGAGCCGCGGTCGACTACGTGGGAGTCCAGCTACATAGCCATTATGCTAACTGTTGGTTCCCAATGGATATAGTACTCTTGTTGAAATTGTTTTTCTACCAGAGTTTTAAATAGGTCTTCCCATTCTTTCCTTGCCTGCATTATTTCAGTTGAGTGCCCCAAAGTTAGTCTAATGGGGTGGTCTTTGTAAATAACTTGGTGTTTCTC